AATGGAGATTTTTGTTAGTGAATATTAAGCACTTTATTAAGCACTTTTGAATGATCTGTTTTTTGTTTTTTGTTTTTCCCAAATGAACTCAAAGAGGCAGATTTTCTTGAGCTCCAATCTTCTCCTCAGAACACCCTTCAGGTCTGGGAGGGTCAGTGCTAATGTGTCCTCAGGGTCGTTTTGTTTGTTTGTTTCCTTAAAAAGTCTTCCCAAATTTCATCAGTTTCAGGCGCCACAAATCCCAGCTCTAATCCTTGCCTCTCACACTGTGTTGATGGTCCCATGGACTTTGTAAGTTTTCTGGGGGAAAAAAAAAATGTTGTTTTCTCTAAGTTTTCAAAAATATCCTGACCTCAGTATTTCTGGGAAGTTTATTCAAATATGACACAAAAGGGTGTCTGTTTACTAATTCTTGGAAGGTGCTTTTCAAAAAGCCGGAGCCCAAGTGCTTACTAAAACACTTTTCCCTGTATTCTGTGCAGATTTTCCCCAACGCATTTCACTGCATCACAAAAGGATTCTCCGTTCACCTCCTCCAGGGGCACCTCCTCTGATAGGCTCTCTTCCTACAAGCTGATGTGCTTGGAAGATCAGACTCTAAACACTAAGCACACTACGGAGGCAAAGTGAAATCTGAACCAATGAAAACACCAACGGCATTTATGTCAGACAAGGCAAACATTTCTTTATGGACTATATTGAACCTCTTAGCACACATGCCATTACTTGAGATTGACTGTGTTCACGTAGCAATAAAGTATGTCGATGACGCTCTGCAAATAATTACAAAGAATCTGTGTCCATTAAAATGCCAAGCGTTCGGGGAAAAAAGATCCTTGCGAAGAGACCTAAGATAAACGCACTATTAGACATTCACTTCAATAAATTCTCATGATTTTATACTTCTTAGCGGTTGGAGCATTATGTTCAGTTCCTCCATTCTGCATGCATATATTTTTATAGCAAATGATTATGGTTAATCACATTATTAGGTTAGGATAATTTAGACCCTACAAGTATCTCACTATTATGTCACACTATGTATGTTATTTTTATTTTAAAGAATAATATTGTGATAATTTTTATTAGAGGATTATAGTAATAAACTTTCAGTAATGCTTTAGTACATAAGGAAGCTAATGCTCCAATGAAGAAAGGGTTCAAATCTGATGCAAATCTTCAAACTGAGGTGCTAACATATTTATTGCTTAGATCAAGCACTAGGTATTAAATGAAGATTATGGTTTTGTTTCCCATGTTGGCCAACAAAATGGGCTTGACCTGCACCCCAGTCATGGGCAGAGACCTCTCATATGCAGGATTTAACAGGGAAGAGAAAAAGTTTTATCACTCCTAGAACAGTGATTCAAATTGTATGCCCCACCTGTTGTGGGCCAGAAATATAGCTTTTTTTTCCCCTCTTGCAACAAGAAGGGCACTTTTGACAGGGGAAGGAAAACAAAAGGAAGCTTCTAGAGAAACTGACAAATTCTGAGATTTAACAGGGTGAGAATGAGGGGGTTGGACTCACTGAATTGAATCCTTGGGTCTAAAAATGTCATCATTTCCATCCAATAACCCCCTTCAACAACTGAAACGTCTAACATGGTCTTCAGTCCAGGGTGGGAGGGGCCAGGAGCTGTTAGCTATAGCTTGTATTTTACTTATATGGGGGAAATGATTCAGCTGTAAAATTAACTTCCAATTGCGTTGTCCCTAAATCAAGAAAGAGTGAACATTACTACGCGAAGTGACTCGCAATGCAGGAGACAGACTTACGACACTAAGTATGCAATCGAAATATTGACATCTTTTTATTCCGATTACATCTCTTCTTCCTCTCTGAAGACCTGGGAATTCATAAAGGAAGAGTGGATTCACACGGATAATCCTAAAGCAGAGAGCTCTCATCTTCCACATGTGGCTCATGGTAGGAAGTGGGTCAGCCAACCATTATCTCCACAACAGCTTCTAGGCACAGGACTCTAGCTTGGAATCTCTACCCTAAATTTCCTCTTAGTTCCATCTAAGAAGACAGCTCCATTAGAATAACACTTCCATCTTGACTGAGCACTAAGAGTTCTGGAAGGTAGACCAGATAGCAGTTCACAATTTTGAACTATCAGGTCCTAGGCCATATTTTGGAGGATGCAGTCTATTCAACTGGTTATTATCTTCAAAAAGACAGAGGCTATAGAGAAAAACAAATGAACAAACAAACCCACGGTCTTGGCTATTTAGAAACATTACTTTCCCTGGGCAGACTCCTCCTGACTTAAAACTTCCCATTATTTAAAAAAATTCGTGTCAAAATGTGTATTATAACTGAGAGGTCAAAAGTTTCAAGCAAGTCCTGTATCTTGGAGAGATGTCTTATGCCAGCACATCATCCAGGTTGACCCCCTGTCTGACTGATTTACTACTGAGAACCAGCTGTAAAGAGAGTAAAAAATGTACTGGGTCCTTTAGGAGAGACAATCTGTACATTTTTTTTAATGTACATACAGTTCTCCTTCTTTTCTTAGTAGGGCTCAAGAATATTTCATTTTTGTTAGTTTTAAAGTCTTATCTGAAAAGATCATTTGAGTTCTTAAAACATTTCTTAGGGGGGAAAAAAGGTTAGCCATTAAAAAAAAAAACTTGAGGAATACTGACATTCAAGATTTCTTGTTTGTAACCTAAATCCCATCCAGCTGACAAACTCCCCTTTAGAATTTCTCAAATGATGGCGCAGAACTCCAGAACCCCTTCTACCTTGACTTAAGTAGTAACATGTCAAATGCATGTTTGAAATATCTTGCTTGTATACCCAAATACACGTACAAACAAACATCTCCCAAACATTCAAGAGTTAAGGAAAAAAATCCCATGGGTCAAATTAGCCTAATCTAGACTATGATGGGATTCATGCACCATGACTTCTATTGCTACAAATGACAGTGTCCAATGAGATTATCAAGAAATTATCAAATGCAACTTATGAAGCCTTTATGAATCTTTAAGTCTGCAAAGTCATTTAAATCCATACTTGACACTTGGACGGCTATAACAGCCATCTTTGACCTGATCAAGGGTATAGAATTTAAACCGTTCTTAGCAATCACAATTTAAGGCGGTACTTTTAACTTACTGAACTTTGAATAAGAGTACTAAATACATCTACATACATCTAAATAAAACAGGCTGAAAAGCGAAAACTAGCAGTGCCATTTGAAGTCAGAGACCCAGATGGACTGATCTGAGAGACACATCCAATTCAGACACAGATACCTGCATGGCTGTTCAGACACAGAGCATCTCAGAGCATGTGACTCTTAAAAAGGATGCTCAGGGTAAAGCACAAGATACCTCCGTGAATTTCAGGGAATAAAATGCAAACAGAAAATAAAGAAATAGCAAAGCAACTGATCTTGCCAATATCCTGTAATCACAACGGAGGAAACACAGCCCTCTGCTTCTCTTACAGGAAGATTTTTGAAGCCATGGTTTCCTTTAAGTAAGAGTGACCTCCAGTGACTTCTTAATTGCACCTCAGTGAACTATGTTAAATCATTCCACAGTTCTTTCACAGCGGCAGATCACTGAGTACTAGTCATTTTTAATTTCTTAGCCAAGTGATGAACGCTCTACTGCAGGACCTAAGGATTTTATGTAAATGACCCATTTTAATTAATTCTTGGAAGTCGTGGGCAAAGCTCAATTAAAATTGTGTCTGAAACCCAGGGCAGTATTTGCTTAAAGGAGACAGGCTCATTTTTCAGGACTGACTCACACAATATGGCATTAAATGAGCGAATACTAAATGATGACAACGCAAAATCATCAGTCTAAGGGCACATATGGATAAATGCTGGAAGGGTAACTTGATCTGTACAAAATGCTTTTCACTTTGGCGCAAACTTCCCCCTGTGGGCAGAGCTGTCCCCCACTCCACCCTCACCCCCAGCTAAATCCGGACCCCTAGCAGCAAGGTCAGTTTCTAAACTTGCCTGTTAGCACTTGATTGATATGCACACGAGCTTGTTCCACTCCCTACCACCTGCTTTTTAAAGAATTCTTGAGGGGGATGGGGTGCGGAGGGAGCACAAGGGGGACTTTCTTAAAATCCCTTGAGGAAAGAAAAGCCCTGTGGTGGAGATTTCAATCTGAGTAACAATCTTGAAAAACTTTTTTTCTAATTTCCAGATCAAAATGCCTTGAGATCCCGCTGAACTAACTCGACTAGCATCCTTAGATCAGGCTCCCCGGGCTAGTTCAGAAATGAGAGGTTAAGATAGCTTCACTGAACCAGCAAAATCAGAAACACAACACGTCACAATATACAAGCAAGCAAGTACACCTGCACAGTGAACCTGAAAGGCAGGCTATGCTTTTCCTTCGAGCAGCAGCCGTCTACGTTTGAGGGGCCTCTGCGTGCCGGGATTCTGGGGACCGCCCAGGTCTGCCGTCCGGGCTCTGATGCGGAGCCCCGCGGGCGCAGCGCCCGGGTTCTCGGAACGCGATTCCGCAGAGCGCCAACTGCAAACATCTACGCTAATGCAGAGCCCGGCCGGGTCGGCCAGCGACTCCCTTTCTGACATAATTCCTACAAAATGCATTTATGCTAAAAAGAAACAAACCACCGCTCTGGCATGCTCTCGTCTCCTTATCTCAGGCCACCCACCGTCTCTCTGGTCTCTCCCCGTCCCAGTCTTCTCATGCTAAATTCAGGTTTTACTAGAACTTGAGCTTTCTCAATGAATATTCAAAACAACAGCATAGGATCCAGCTCACAGGCAAAAAGTCAAAACCGGCTTTGTGTATTTTGGACTTGACAAGAGGAAAAACCATTGTACGCCACCCTTTCCAAGCACTGGGACTTTGAGATGTTTTTTAAACGCCTCATTTTCAGAAACATGCCAGCGATTCCATTTGTTTTAAAACAAAAAAAATCAATTTATTTTTTTAAGACACAAATTCTAACTTGTCAATACAAGTTTTAAAAGATTTGCTGTACTCACAAGTATTCCCTGCTACTCCTGTGCTCCACGGCCGAGCAGACAAAAGAAAGAGCATCCTGAGAAAGGCTCCCGCGACGGGGTCCATGTTCGCAGTCGCCGGGGCTCCCCCGCCCCAAAACCCAAGGTGTCCAGGCAGCTGCGCCGAGCTGGGGCCCGCCTGCTCCCTCCCTCTCGGGGTCGCCAGCGCCCCGTCCTCTGCTCTCCGC